TCTCTTATGCTCACCAAGGCTGCATTTATTCAATCAAAAATACAGTAAAAACAGTAATATTTTGAAATATTATTACAGTTTATAAGAACTATTTTCTATTTGAATATATTTTTAAATATAATTTATTCCTGTGATGCAAAGCTGAATTTTCAGCATAATTACTCCAGTCTTCAGAGTCACATGATCCTTCAGAAATCATTCTAATATGCTGATTTGCTGCTCAAGAAACATTTCTTATTATAAGTGTTGAAAACAGTTGTGCTGTGTGATTTTTTTGTGGAAAATGTGCCATATTTTTTCAAGATTTTTTGATGAAAAAGAAAGTTCAAAAGAAGCGTTGATTTGAATATCTAAAAATGTATTAAGATAGAAAATAGTTCTTTTAAACTGTAATATATCATAATAATGTTTTTTTATCAAATAAATGCAGCCTTGGTGAGCATAAGAGGCTTCTTTCAAAAATATAGAAAAATCTTAAATATTCCAAATTTTGACTGGTAGTGTATATGTTAATCCTAAATCCTCGTATAAAACAATCCACCTACATGAGACTTAAAAAAAAAAGTTTGTTCAGACATTACTGGGTAGCCAATGTTTTATGAGAGAGGCCTCAGCACGAGTCTGGCAGCAACATTAGTTCAACCAGTTGTGTGAGTTTGGTTCGGGACTATCTGACTAAATGTGAGTTATGTTAACAGAAACTGTCTTTATTTTTTCTCTTGCATTTGTGGTGCAGAAATGACACACCTCACCTCTATTCACTATTTTTAGAGGCAAATGTTGACTAGCTTAAATAACTCTTTTTGTTTCTGATCTGAAGGGAGCCCAATGTCAGGCCCGTATGGTGCGCAAATGGCAGGGCCACAATCAGGCGCTTTCCCAGGAGGCTTTCCTGGAGGTCCAGCACAAATGGCAGGCCCTCCTCAAAAGAAGCTGGACCCGGACTCCATTCCAAGCACGGTAATAACGGGCAATAAATGCTACTTTATAGTGTAAAAGTATTTAAATTTGTGCACATTTCAAGGTACACTGACTTGTCTGTTGCAGACACAAGTGATTGA